TTTTTTGTTCATATGCCCTCTGAAAGCTTTTGAAAATGTAGACATCACTTTTCACTCTAAGTCATAACTCTTGCAAAGGGGGCTTTTTCCTGTATATTATAAATAAACATTATTTTCTACATGTTAACTATGTTCCACAACCAGGCTAAGCTCATTTATTAATCCTTACAGGTTATCTGTTCAGTTCTTTTTTGGACTTCCTACCCATGTAATTACATCACCTGCCTACAATGACCATTTATCTCTTTCTTTTTTAGTTCTTACATATTTACTTATTTATATTTATATGTTTTGCTTTATTGTACTGGCCAAGACAGTTAGGCAACAATGCCCAGGACCACACAGCCACCAATAGAAGAAAGGTACCTCACTTAGAGACACAGACCATGTTGGGGCTTCTCAAGATCTGCTTGTGACATGGTTTCTAATGTTGGCAGCAGGTGGTACTGATCATGTATTCAGGCCCAGCCTCAGAGTGTGTGCCGTGAGGTTTTCCAGGGAGACCCTATCTCAAAGTCATTTGTGCAGCATGAATACTAGCCTTTCCTCATCACTTGGAATGGACACTGAGCCTATAACTACAGAACCATCTACCTGACTGTCTATCTTCACAGCCCTGGGCGACTCCCACCAGGCCAGTTATGCTTGCTGCTCTGGTTGGAAGAGGACCAGTGGGCACCCCAGGATCCTCTTGTAGAGCTGCAACATGCCAGCCTCCATGTTGGAATGGTGGGAGTTTCATCCTGCCAGGTCACTGCTGCCACCCTGTGTGATGGCAGGGAGATACTTGCCAGACAGCAGTGAGTGAATGCAGCACTGAAGAGGCCAGCTGTTTCCAGCGCTGTGTCAATACTGTGGGCAGTTACTGGTGCCAGTGTTGGGAGGGGCAAAGCCCATCCGCAGATGAGATGCTCCGCCTGCCCAAGAGAGGGGCTTCCCGGTGACCCCAAACCCCACATTTAAGGGAGGGAGAGAGAGTGCACAGGCTGCAGTCCAAGGTTGATGTGCCTGAACAGAAACTGCAGTTCGTGCTGGCCCCACTGCACAGCCTGGCCTCTCTGGCCACAGAGCATGGACTACAAGACCCTGGTGCCCAGCAAAGAAAACCATCAACAAAAACATAGACCAAAACAAACTCCTTCTAGCAGCTGGTTCACCGAGTGAGCAGGTTTCACTGGAGGAGCAGCTGGGCTCCTGCTTCTGCAAAAAAGATCTGTGAGAGCATCTCACCCTTTGGGTTGAACTAAGCATCACCTTACATCCCTTTCAGCAGGAGTTCAGGTGCAATCTGGTGGTGTCTGTAGAAGGCCCTGCTTGTCTATCCCTCTTTCTCAGGAGGTTCCTAGGGCTTGGGCATGGGGAAGTGGGATCATGTGTGACTCTCCAAATGGGACTTTCAAGGTAGGAGAGTTCCCTGTCCAGAGATAAGGTGGGGATTGTCCCCATCTTTGTCATAACAAAGCTGGAACCAAAAAAAAAAAAAAAAAAAAAAAAAAGAACGAGAACCAAAAAAAACTATACTATGGATATGATACCAAGTAGATATCCTTAAATGTTTCTTAGAGACAAAACTTTTATTACTAGGTACAATATTTACTGTATTTTTCAGGTATTACTGATCAGAATAAAGGCATCCCATAGTCTTAATATGATCAGAATTCTTATTATAAATGAATGCTAAGTTTTATACACAAATTTCTCTATCTGGGAGATCATCTTACCACGCTCCCTTTTGTTGATGTGAATACCAATTATTTTTCAGTGATAACAAACTTTGCATTCCTGGAACGGACTCCCCTTATAAAGATGTCCTTTTTAATATATGTCACTGGATTCAATTAACTCATTATTTTCTTCAGGGTTTTATGGGGGAAATTAACATGTAATTGTCATTTCTTTTAATGTCCTTCCATTTTGGCATCATCTAGATTACATTGACCTCATAAAATGAGCTTGGACAAGTTTCCCCTTTTTTTTCCTTCTAGAAGTATTTGTGGAAGAAAGATGTTTTTCTTTAGAATAATTCACTAATAGAAACCAGCAAAAATTGCAATATTTAGCCATAAATTGTTCTTCTTAAAAATAATATTCTTAAGAATTCTTTGAAAAATTCATACTAGTGTTTTCAACTTTTTTTTTTAAATAATGTATAAGTTCTGGCAAACTATATTTTGGGTTATTCTCTTCCTTCCTTTCTTTATTTTTTTAATTTTTGAGTCAGGGTCTCACTTTGTTGGCATAGCTAGCCTGAAACTCCTGGGTTCCATACCTTCCCCAAGTAGCTGGGACTACTGGCAAACAAAAATAATCTGCTTAACCTTTGGGGAAGGGAGAGAAAGAGAGGGGAGGGGAGGAAAGGAAGAGGAGGGGAGGACAGGAGAGGGCAGGGCAGGGCAGGCAGGGGAGTTTATTTTGGTCCATGTTTTTGTTGATGGTTTATTTGTTTGTTTGTTTTTTGAGATAGAGTTTGACTGGGCAGCCCAAGCTGGCTGCTTTCAACATCTTAAATGCCAGGAGTGCAGGGAAGCACCACCATGCTTGGCTCCCAACTTTTGACTTTTTAAAAATTTTCTTTAGTAATGTCACCTAATATTAACACTATTTATCAAATTATTTTTATATCATATTGATGTTTATATAATCTGTATCAATATCTCCTTTTACATTCCTAATATAGGTATTTTATAGAAAATATTTTAAAATAATCTACCCAATCTACTGAAGCATGGATAAATAAAATGAAGTATATCCATATAGTATTTAGTCATAAAAGGACAAATTACTGATGGAATATATTTTGAAAATATGCTGGTATAGCTCATGCTATACCAGTTTGTTCATACAAAATATTCAGAATTGGAAAATTTTTAGAACCAGAAAACAGACTGGAGGTTTTGTGTAGCTAGGGGGATTGGGAGGAGAGAAAAAGTAAGAAGTGGGAATGACTAACTGCCAAAATTGTGGGGCTCCTCTGGGGGATAATAAAAACATTCTTAAACTGGCAGTAGCGGTATTTGCACATTGAATTGTAAGCTATGTGAATTCGAGCTCAATAAAGTTGTTTGCCTTTAAAATATCACTGTGAGTTTAATACCCAGCAAAAACAAAAACAACTAACCAACCAAAACAAAAAGCCCAAATTACAAATTACAAATTACAAAGGACAAATTACAACCTCCTTCATTTTTTTCTAAACAAAAAATTGGAAACTTGTGAAAGAATTTGTTACCTAGTCATTTAACATTACAGCCTTCATACCAATCTGTCCATTTTCCTTGTCTTTGGTAACTTGAAGGCTCTCATTCTGACACCACACTATAGGACTAGCATGCCACTGGCTCTCCTTGTTTTGAGAGGACCAAACGCTGGAAGTGTTTCATTTAAAAGTATGGCTGTGCATTTCAAGAAAGTCAGCTAGTTCCAAGACTATGTTCTACATGATACTGCCTCACAGGATAGGCCTGTCCAGGAGAAAGGGACTGTGTTCTAGACTTTGCTAGCTGTATGTCAATGTGTCCTGTGGTGGCAAGACCTGGGCACTTCAAGAAGGTCAGTTCCAGTCCAGACGTCTCCTCTGGAAGTCACAACAATGTGGAAAACCTGGACAAGATGACCTTGTTTCTCTGGGTGACACTGAACTAAATGTTGCTTACTTCTGCCAGTGCTGTCTGAGCAGCCTGACAACTAAGGAGAGTTATGTTGCTGAAAAACCTGATCCCTCGCTTTTCCCTTGCACTTTTTTTTTGTTTGTTTGTTTGGTTTTTTTTTTTTTTTTTTTTTTGGGTGAATTTAATCTTTGTACCTGCCATGTCTGCTGAGTATATAATTAGCAGGCTGACATCTGAGTAGCAGGACTTCTCAGCTAGCTTTATTTAGGGGTGGATTTTTTTTCTTTCTCTTTGGGTATACTTAGGTACCCCAACTTCCTTATTAACCAGAATAATAAGGGCAGCCTTATTCAACCCTCAGACTTCATCAAGAATACAGAAATATCTGAGTCTAGGTGTCAATTAGTGTCATCTTGTCCTTTAGATGTGACTGAAGCTGGCTTGTCCTGTGGGTTATGTAAGAAGTCTATGCCTCCGTCTAACCTTCTGGTCATTTCTTGGAGACAGTTCCATGGCTAGCTGACTACAAATTCTGAAACTGTTCTCCACTAGGGATTGTCCACTATCTCCCGCTGCTGTGCACCTTCCCAATAGAAGACTGTCATAAAATTCAAATACTGTTCTCAATTAGTGCCATTCACAGCTAGCAAGGGATACTCTAAACATGGACCTAGCAGACCTCAAAGTTTAAAGCTAGGCTGGGATTCACTTCTGAGCAACAAGGCCAGTAACAAAACAGATCTTTCAATTTAACGTGCATCAGTATTGCCAGGTCACAGTTACTCTTAATTGGGTCAGAATAAATTATTTTCTTATTTCCTTAAAAAAAAAAAAAGTTGAATGAAGCTGGGCAGTGGTGGTAGATGCCTTTAGTCCCAGCACTTGGAAGGCAGAGACAGGTGGATCTCTGTGAGTTCAAGACCAGCCTGGTCTACAAGGTGAGTTCCAGGACAGGCTCCAAAGCTACAGAGAAACCCTGTCTCCAAAAGCAGAAAACAAAGCAAAACAAAGAAAAAGTTGAACGAGGCTCTTAGAGCATTCCTCTACCCTGTGTAAATCTCTAGGTATTGCCCAAGGCTCAGCTCTCACACCCCATTCCTCTCTTTGCTGTAATACCCTTACACAGCCAAAGCTGGCATCCAACTCTTGGGTAGAGCAAATCTTTCTCTTGTCTTTTCCCTGACTCTAGGGTTTTGTCTTAGAAAACCAAACCAAAGTTTCAAAATGTCATTTGTAAGGATTTGCCCATTAATATCATAGGCAAGCACTCTTCACCTCCTCCTCAGTGTCATAGATTTTGTGTGTTTTTAACATGAACAGGGGAGGGAGGGTATGTGGGGGGAGAGGTGATAACAAAGTATTAAGTATGAACAAAATAACAGGACAAGAACATTTGATCCAGTCAACACTATTTATTGAATGCCTTTGATGTTCTAGGCACTGGGTAGTCATAAAGGGGAACAGAAGCAGACACAGCTCTGCCCTTGTGTGGCGCGGCGCAGAGAGCTGGTGTGAAAGAGAAACATCACATACAGAGGCTGAAACAAGCTGTGAGTGACACGTGCCAGGAAAATGGGTGCAGAGAAAAACACACCACCCAGCAGGAGCTGGGCAGGCAAAGTCCATGAGGCCTGACAGCAGATGCAGTCTGAAGGTTTGGGGAATGGCAAATGGCATTTAGGTGAAGGAAGCAGGCCACTGGAAGGTTCTAGAACATCAGAAAACATTGGTTAAAGACAGAAAGAAGGCCCACATGGTTGGGGCTGCAAACTTGAGTAACACTGGGTAGCAAGATTAAGTTAGAGAAATGAGTGAATCCAGACCACTACAATGTTTCAAGCCAGGGAGGGATGGCAAAAATTTACATTTTGGGGGGGAAAACTCCACTCTGGCTACAGTACAGATGATAAACAGGAATATTATAAGGACTTGAGCTGAATTGTCAGCTGCCTGGAGTGCCAATATGGAGATGACTAACTATTCAGAGAAGTGGTTTATCTCTATGGGTGTGCTGATGCAATCACTATACTAAATGGATATATACATACAAATAGTCATAACACCCTTCATAGTAGTGATTCAAAAGCCACCAACAAAAGTGGTAGTCCTTTCCCCCTAAACTTCCTGCTCCCTCTGCCAAGACTGCTTTCTCAACTTAGAAAATTTCTTAGTACACATTACTTGTAAAAAACAGTGAGTTTCATTATCACATTTTCACACATTATTATAATCTGAATCCACTTTTAACCATTCATAGTCCCTTGTTTTTCATGGAGGGGGAGGTCAAGTGGGGGGCACTGGGGATCAAACCAAGACCTTGTTCAGGTTAACCACTTTCCTACCCAAGCTGGGTTCCCAGACACTTTTCTTGCTTTTTAAAACATGGTATGCTTAAATGGTTGTTTTTCATTTTTGTACACCAAAGAGAAGAAAAAACTACACACCACTACCCCAAAGTATCTCCTTACATATAGTTCTTCTGTATCAAGAGAGAATATTCAAAATCACAACCAGTGCTTCCTTTGTAATATTTCCCTATAAATAATGAACAAAACCTCCACATATTTGGGCTTTGGGATATAACTCAGTTGGTAGTGTTTGCTTAGCAGGCACAAAGACCTGGGTTTGAGCCCCAGCACCATGCAAACTTGGTATGGTGACATATGAGTGCTACCCCAGCATTCTGGAGGCAGAGGCAGAAGCATCAGAAGGTCAAGTTCATCCTTGGCTACATAGCAAGTTGAAGGTTAGTCTGGGTTACATGGGACCCATCTCAAAGGAAAAAAAGAGAAGGACGGGGTGGGGGCAATACCCCCACTGACTGCCTTTATTAGTTCATTAGCCCTCAAATCTGCCAGTAAGGACAGATCTAGTACACATCACCATATACATACACCTCTGTGAGATAAAGTGTCATCACTCCATTTGTGATGGACACACTGAAGAAAGATTTTTATTTCATTAGTAGGAGGAAGTAGAAAAATTTCAAGCTGGCATCAGAATAGTCAAAGAAATAAGAGTTGAAGTATATGTATTAAAGGCGTAATTATTTTCACTACAAGGCAAAAGTCATCCTTCCTTTTTATACTACAGATCAAACCCAGTGCCTCAGACATTCTAAATAAGTGTTCTAACCACAAAGCTATACTTTCAGCCTAAAAATTATAACCAATTTTTGGGAAAGAAATATTCAAAACATTATGGTCAGATTATAAGTGCATGCTTAGTCCTCTCAAGTAGGAGGACTGTAAGCTTGAGGCCAGGTTGAACTACACAGTGAGACTTGTTAGGAAGGGAGAGAGAAGACAGGAAGAAGGTGGGACTTGAGCAAAGTCATATCTTCAATAGAGTAATAAAATATGTCAGTGCTATGTGGTGGTTAGGAATGTGAATGAACATGAAATATATAAGTCAGGTGCCTTTTGTTTTGTTTTGTTTTGAGATAAAATCTTACTATGTAGCCCAGGCTCTCCTGGATCTCAAATTCTCCTGCCTTAGTCTCACAACTGCAAAGGAAACAGGTCTGTGCCACCATGCCTAAGATGTTGTTAACATTCAGAGAGACCAATTACAACAAAGTAACAACTTGGAGACACAGAGATTTGTACATAAGCACCCCATGTCAGTTTGACTTTTACTAACAGAAAACAACCTTGGTGCTCTAAGATACAACTCTAAAATGAAATAAAATCACTAAATTCCTACTTTCAGAGACCATTTAATGGTGGAGTAGGTGCTAATGAAAAAGGTAGTTAAGGACTTGTCTGTTAGCAAGTGTTTTGTATTGAAGCCTTATAGTCAGTGTTTCTCTATATCACGCATCTGCTTGCCCCTTTATGGTTTTCATTATTTTTATTGTGCCAAAAATAATGCCTCAGAGTTAATTACAGAGGATTTTTTTTGATAATAAACTCCTAGTTTTTGTTTGTCCAATAAAATATCTTTATTTTAAGAAAATAGTGGAGGGAGGCCAGCCTTCATGTAAAAATATGCATGAATAAACTATGCACATACACAAACATATGTATAAGAATCTATAAAATATCTCTATATATACCCTCAATGTAAGTACATAGAAAAAAAGACTTTGTTTTCCCCTCCTAGGCTAGTCCAGCTGTCACGCCTTTCAGAATCGCCTAGGCAGTTTAGCATGCAGCAGCAGGGGCCACTCTGACTGCTGACTTAGTCTATGGGAGCAGGGCCAGCAGCTCTCTGTCCAGCTCCCACTCAACTCAGCACAGCTCCTGGGCCGCTAGACCTGGAGCAGACACTCTCCCCATGTGGTGGAATCCTGACTATTTCTACCCAGTCACAAGCTTTACTTAATGACTCATGTTTTCCAAATAATACTTGATGTGGCATTTCATTCTAGCCATCTATTGAAAGCTTTAGCTTATCTATTAATTCAATCCATTACTTCACTAATTCTGGCAAATCACATTCACATTGGGAATAAAAGTTTTGTGTCTCTGAACAGGCCTAGAATTTCAAAGTAATGCTTATGCAGGACTAACCGAAACAGTGCAGAGCACAGGGAGGGCATCCCTGACTCCCACTGACTGACTGTGGATCCATCACCTCCCCTCCGTCACTGCAACAAGAAAAATAATTCAATGCTATTCAATTCCTACTAGACTGCCAGGACCATGTGTTGAAGGGAACCAGAACGTTGAATAAAATGCTAAGATAAAACCTAGTACAAACCTGCAATGACTATTCCAGTGGAACCCCAATCTGTTACCATCAATAGTGCACATATGCTGCCTCCACACATTTACCTCTGTGTTAGGTCACAACCTCTATACACACTGCCAAATACCATTCTTCAGCCGAGAGGACCCAGTCCTAGACACTTTGCCAATAATGGCAATTAAGCTGGGCAGAGCTAAGTCCAACACTGTGTGGAGTATTGGCTTCTATTTGTGGCAAGAGACACAAGAGGAATGTCCATGAAAAACCTATTATTTTGTCACATCTGTACTTTAAGAAGGATGATGGGTATTTTTTATCATTTAAAAAATGATTTATTGTTAAAAATATTGTTTCCTCTCACTAATGATTCAGCTCAGCAATCCAGCTCCATCTTTAGGATTATTAGGGCCAAAATAATTTTAAGGGGAAAAAAATTTCCAAACCTTTAAGAAAAAAACAAAAGTAACTCACAACCAACAACACATCCACAGCCAAGTCCACGCTTACGCATTCAGGAGCACTGGTTTCATTTTTTGATTGGAATGCCGATCACCATGAAGTCCTCTGCTAGAGTCACTTCTTGGAGGCCTAACACGGCCTCAGCTTGCCTTTTCAGTTCTGCAATGCCGTCTGTCTCCCCTTCTCTAGCCAAGGCCGTTGGTTTGTACCTCTGACTGAAGTGAGTCAGGACCAGCCTCTTGGCATGGCACAACTTGGCAAATGCAGCTGCCATCTGCGGTGTGCTGTGGCCGTGTTCTTTTGCTTTGTCCATCTGGGAATCATCCAGAGTCGCCTCATGGATCAACAGGTCCGCTTCAAAGCACAGCTTCACTCCACCGTCACCCACAACCCCGGAACAGTCACCCAATATACAGATTTTTCTCCCAACCATGGGCTTTTTTAAGACATCTTGGGGAGAAATGGTAACTCCATTATCCAAAACAACAGAAATTCCATTTTTCAGCTTCCCATAGGCAGGACCTGGGGGTACACCTGATGAGGAAAAAAATACTACATGAAGGATATGGAATAATGATTTGTAAAGAGACAACTTTAACAGTGTAGCAAATAGCAAAGGCACCCAGGGGTCTGGAGAGAGTCCTCTTCCAGAGGACCTGGAGTCAATTCTCAGCACCCACATGGCAGCTCACACATGTCTGTAACTCCAGTTCCAGGGCTTCTGAGGGTGACAGATATATATATATATATATATATATATATATATATATATATATATATATATGGTGCACAGACATACAGCCATACATATAAAATAAAACTAAAAAATTAGAGGCATCCGATTATTTTCCAAACTGCAAGAGATGCTTTCCTACTTGTAGACAACTGGGATATTTAAGCACTGTAGAATTTCAGTATAGACCTCTGTCATTAACAATAGTGTTATACCTGACACCTTTTCCTAGCACAAGGTGAGCTGACGTTTACACTGTGTGATCACTGAGGCCTTACTATACTCAAGATTCCTGCTTTGATTTCCTGTTTTGCATGAAAATAACAGTTTTGGGGATATTTTATTTACTACAATATTAAAGAGTAGTTCTAAATAATCATATAGTCAATACCTTTAGTCAGAACAAGTGTCTATGAACTGACTCACTAAACAGGAACTTGTTAGAGAGGACTACTAGAACCCTACGTTTGACTAGGGAGATGTTACAGCAGGGAAGACCCTCACAGCCACGCCTGACAACCTCAGTTTGATTCCTGAGACCCACATGGTGGAAGAAGAGAATTAATCACAAAAGCTGTCTCTGACCTCTGTCTGCACACCATGGCAAACACACATGCACATACCAAGCAAAACAACCAAAAATAAGGTCAAGGGGAATTTCAGGCAATCATACATGATTAATCTTCTTGGCAGATGGTAGCAGTTCCAGATGTTCAAACTTCACTGTCATTTAATATATACTAACAGTGTGGATAACACAAACAAATATATGATCAACATTTCCAACAGGGATCATGTTTAAAGTTTCCAAATATAACTATTTACATAGGAATTACATAACAAAAATACCTTTGACATATATAACTTCCCTCATTATCTAGTATATAGTTTTAGTTGGGGAAGAAAACTGAAAATCGGATGAAACACTACCACTCTTTAAACAGGAACGTCCATGCTACGCTTGGTGTAGTTGTGATGCTGGAAGTAAGATGGACCTGACCTGCATTTCTTTAGGTCTCCTCACTTATACATCATGGCCTCATGTGGAGAAACACAAATTCTTCAAGGACCTTTGCCCATTTTTGTGTGTTTCCTTCCAACTACGATGAACCATGGCATGTAGAACCAGTTAAGGTGCATTGTTCTGAATGCCAAATTAATTCAATCAAGATTGGATGAGTAGGCAAGGTATATAGAAAGGAAACTCTTGAGATAATTGGCTGCTGTTGTAAGGTAAAGACCCATGGCAAAAATATCCTGACACAGAAGATGTCATTGAAGGGTCAAAGAGATGCCTCAGAGGGTAAAGTGCTTGCTGAGCAAGCATGAGGACCTGAGTTCAGACCCCAGCACCTATGTAAAAGCCAGGTATGGTGGTGTGTATGTGTAACCTTAGCATTGGGGGAACAGAAAGAGGCAGGTCCTAGGGTCTTGCCAGGTAGCCAATCTAGCCAAAATAATGAGCTGTAGGTTCAGTGAGAGACCCTGTATCAAAAAGGTAGAGAGTAATTGAAAACTCCTGATGTCAACCTTTGACCTGTATATGCACATGCATGGATTAGAGGACACACACAGGCACACACACACAGGCACACACACACACACACACACACACACACATTTCACACAAAGATGTCACTGAAAACATACCTCAGACTGTGCACATTTCCAATTCCAACCAATCTTGAGACAGAGGCTGGAGGATCATGAGTTTGAATTTGAGCTACATAGTGAGTTGTGGCCAGGCTGGGCTACCCTGTATCAAACCCTGTATCAAACAAAAATAAAAATAGAAACAGATTTTAAAAACAAAACCACAACAACTTCAAAAAAAAAAGACATGAAGATTAGGAATACAGCTAAGTAGCAGAGAAAATGGGCTTGAACTCTAGCATGGCCAAAAAACAACAAAAAGGAAAGCACAAGGAAATAAAAATTAAATCATGGACTTACCAGCTCAATTCAAACCACCTTTCTAACCAAGTCAGAGCTGGGCCTGGTCATACAGGCTGTATCCCAGCTTCTCAGAAGGATCTTACACTCAAAGCTACCTTGGGCAAGTTAGGGAAACCCTGGCTCAGCTAAAAAATAGCAAAAGAGTTGGAGATATAGCTCAGTGGTAGAGAGTGCCTGCTTAGCATGTGTCTTAGATTCAATCCCAGTGCAGCCAAGAAGGAAAGAAAAGAGAATGTGAATCCAGGAGGCTAACAAGAAAAGATTCAATTATATTAAATATTCAAGTTTTGCTCTGAATAGCTTTGCTTTGGACCCCAAAGATTTTCCTTAATAAGCAAATTTTGGGCCAAGGAAGTGAGTGCTTACTGTGACCACACAGGAAACTGGCTACCCTGACACTTCCAGTGGCTTCCTTAAAGCAGCTCAGCTAAAGAGAAGGAAAGGGATACTCACCGAGGTCTTTCAGCTTCTGTGCATTGAGTTTACCTGCACGTTTCTTTTCCAGGACTGAAAAGCCAAAGGATGGAATTCTGTGAAAGAGGCGAAATGCTTTTACAACAAACTGCTCATCGTCAACCAGACAGTATGAGTTTTCTTCTGTGTCTAACAAGATAGTTCGCCCCTGTCCTTTGGGAGGGCTGTCTGCTTCATTCACATGTGAATACCCCTTTAGCTCTTCCACGGGACACTGATCAGCTGTAGGTACTATCTCATGGACCACGTAAGGAAAAACCAACTCTGTATGGGAGAGCTCCATGGTTCTCCAGATAAAGTCCCGAAGCCCTACAGGGCCATAGATTTCAATAGGCTGCCTTGTGACCACAGAGCCACTCTGTAGGCTGATCGTACAGAGGAGGCCCGGAAGGCCGAAGAAGTGGTCTCCATGTAGATGTGTGATGAAGATCTTGGTGATTCTCCCTTTTGATTGAGACAGAGAAACATATTAGGAAAATTTTCAGAAACAAATACCAAGACAAAACTATTTGACTCAGCATCCCCACCCCTCAGGCCCACGCTGGAGGTTGATCTTGTGTATCCTGGACAGTTCCTCTACCTACTGTACTGCCACTAAGGAACATCCTCAATCCCACAAAAGAAGCAACTTAAAACAAGCCTAAGAACTTCCATAAAACGCAGTAGACTGCAGTTATACATTCTGTATGCTACCACACACTTATTTATTCTTTCCATTTTCTGCGTGACTCCAGAAAACAGAGGGAGGGACTTTATTAAGCTCTGTAATCTGTCTGTTTGGCTGGTTGGTTGGTTTTGTGTGTGTGTTTGTGTGGGGTGCATGTGGTGTTATGTGTGTGGTCTATACACATGAATATTTGGATATCCATGCATGTAGAGACCAGAGGAGGAGTCTGGGTGTCTTCCTCTACTGCTCTCTACTTTATCATCCTGAGACAGGGTCTCTCCTAAACCAGAAGTTCACCATTGTGGCTAGGCTGGGTGACCAATGAGCTCCCAGGATCTGCCTCCCTGACTGCCAACAAATACTGGGGTTATAGGCACCACACAGACACGTCCAGCTTTTTACATAGATGAGGGATTTGAATCAGGACCTCATGTTGGACAGCAAGCACTCTTACCCATGAGACATCTACCCAGCCCTACTTGGTTGCTTTCTGAGACAAGGTCTCACTCTAAAGCCCATGCAAACCTGGAACTCACTATGTAATCTAGATAGCCTTGAACTTGTGGCAATTCTCTTGCCTTAACTCCCAAGTGATAGGATTATAGGTGTGAACTACCAAACAGCCTCACCAGAATAGTATTTTTCTATGAAAATCTTCAGATTATAATGTTTTAAAGCTTTCAAGTGTTTTCTCCTACATATTCTCACTTTACATCAAGATAACTCACTTAACTAAATGGGCCTCAAGTATCAAAGCATCTTTCAGTTACACTGTCTCCTATCAGCCCCTTTGAGACTAGCAAACATGTACTTAAAGCAAAATGAAATGTTCCATTGTTCTAATTGACTGGATCAGGCCTAAACCCAAAACTGCCTTTTATGGTCTCCTTCCTGGACAGGGATTCACCAACAAAGACTGAGCATGTGTCCCGGGGAGGGTGTGGAGGAAGGGACAAACAGGACAATGACTGGGGAGGAAGGATAAGAAAACTAGAAGAGGAACAAGGTAAGTGAAGAGGGAGGACATGGATATCAGATGTCAGCATGCAGACTGAAGGCAGATCCCATGGGCTCAACTCTTTTTTCTAGTCTGAACCTATACAACAGCTTTTTCACTGCACACTGGCTTAGCTTCTAACTTGATTTAGCTAATGGTATACTGAATTTACTGCTGGTAAATGGCAGGATGCCACATCAGCATTTTCTGAGATGCACCACGGACATTTTGAAAGTAACAATCACAACCGGCACATTTCCAGTAGAACAGGCTCAAGGGCCACCTATCTGAAGTATATGATACCATAAAAGTACAACAGCAGTTTATTGATACCATAAAAGAACAGGAACAGTTTATCACACTGTGATTTGTTCTGACAGCAAGTGCTCTCAAAGCAAGTCTTCCCAGAATGAGTACGCCCAGGCTGCAGTGGCTGAGAGCAATGGCTGCCTCAGAGACTGACTTGGGTCCTGGAGGACCCCACCCCCATCCCAGGAGGTTGTCTCTCTTCTCACAAGGCTCTTCTCTCACTATACTTGCTAGCTTTGCTCTTCTCATTCTCATGGTTGTCCTGTAATTTTCATATGGTGCTGGGGATTGAATCTAGACTGCCACACATATACTTGGCAAGCTCTCACTCACTGAGCCACACACCCCAGGACTCTTTTTAGCCTTCATTTATTACTGTTTTTTGTTTTGTTTTGCTTTTTACTTCAAATAAAAGTACACTCCTTAAATTTCCCCATATCCCCTTTCTAGGCTACCTCTCAGTATCACCCAAAGATTCTAGAAACAAAAGAACTACAGTAGCTACTGAATCCAGATCCCATGTTGACCTTAAAATTGTCATCATCACTTTTTAGGCCTTCTCACTATCTATTGCAAAACAAAGTCAAAGCTGAATACAAAACAGCCTGGGAACCCAAAGCAAGCACAGCAAACGAAGTAAGAGAAAAACTGCTTCTCACAGTTATCAGTTTCAAGAAGGCCAGGCATTTCATTTTGGGAAATGTGATTTCTGAGAGACAAGGAATGGCAACCACAGTTATGAAAGGTATGAGGAAGCTATCAGATGAAGAGTGAAAATCACACCAGATTCCTTTCCCTTTAGAAGAAAGGAGTGGTGGGAAACACTACCCACAGAGAAGCAGAACAGTAAGCATCCTTAGACATGATGATGCAATTAAATCTATTCTTCTACGGTATATGAGACATACACTGTTCAGATAAAAAAAAAAAACAGCTAATGCTGAGTAAACTGTGGTTCCATTAGGCATATTACACATACCTCTATACATATTCACACCATTATCACATCTGTATTTATACAAAATGTACCTGTGAGAGCTGGGAATATAACTCAATTGGTAGAGTGTTTGCCCATCACCCACAAAACCCTGAATTCACTCCCCACTCCTACATAAAACTGGATGTTGTGGTCCATGCCTGTAATCCCATCACTTGGGGTGGAGAGGCAGGAGGACTGATATTCAAAGTCATGGCTACATAACAAGTTCATCACCTCTTGGACTACATGGAACTCCGCCTCCAAGAAAAGAGAAGGTGTGTGTGTGTGTGTGTGTGTGTGTGTGTGTGTGTGTGTGTGTGTGTGTATGTGTGTCTAAGACTTGGGCTTTTCTTACTTATATTTTCTAGTTTTGTTTTATTTGAATTTCTTCAATAAAAATATGTGTGCAAAAATCTTATTCCTTTGAGACAAGGTCACATATAGCTGGGGCTTGACTCAAGCACAGAGGATAACCTTGAACTCCTAATCTTCCTGCTTCTACAACCTAAGTACTGGGTTAACAGGAATGTGTCAACAGAGCAGCCTCTGCAACATGTTTTTCTTCCTTCCCTTCCTCCCTCCAGCTCTAGTGTGTACACACACACACACACACACACAATGTACACATTTATGTAATTTAAATTGTTTCTTTTTTCAGTGTTGGGAGCTGAATCAAGGGCCTTGCACATAGTCCTTTTTAAAGTTTTTACCACTGTGTTAAGATCATGCTTTTGTAATGCTTTTAGGAATCAGTCAATGCTCATTTCTTTTGCTTTGTTGATTTTGGTATCAATGATGGGGACTGGGACATGGTGGCTCACATCCCGAGCATGCATTCCACGCAATTAGTGCCCCCTTTTTCATGTTTCCTGTATCCACATGATTGATGGCTTCTGGTCCCTGAACAGTAGAAGTGTGCTTCTTTAAATAGAAAGTTAACACCCTCTGATGAATGTAACAGCTATGATTTATCAAGACCTTAAAAGTGGGAGGCCCTGAATGTTCATCTGTTCACAGTGAACAGGTGCTTATTAGGCATTCACCAGTCACACAAGTGTCACTAAACCTACCTGACTGTACATCACTGTGAAAGCACAAAAACAAACTATTTAAATAACATAGTTCAGACACTAATGATGCTAAAAAGTGCATTAAAAATAGTATAAAATAAAGGAATGCCTAGGGTAAGTGAGAGGATATTTAACCCAGGAGGTCCAGAAAACCCTGAGGAAAAAGCCTTTAAGATTTAAATGATGACAACCTGATAATTGATTAGGTATTAGAAATTATTTTAAAGATTAAATGATGAAATGAAAGTAGCTATATAGGATATGAATTACTTAACATATGTAATTCCTTCAATGTTTTTTGAGACAAGATCTCACTGTGTAGCTCAGGCTGTCCTCTAACTCACAATTATCTCTACCTCCAGGATTCTAGGATTCCAAGAAAGTTCCACACACATGGTTTATAACATTTCTTTTAGGCAGTTTGTATCCCTGTTCTTTGAGACAAGAAAAGCAAATTTAAGCCCACTGCTCTGCTAAAGTCAAGCCTGAGATATAACTGGGCCTATTACCCAGGTCTGCCTGTATCCAGGCAGAATTCTCACCGTGAACTCCTCCACTTCCAGGTGCTGGTCTTGGCTCACTACTCCATTCCCTCAAGTTGGACTTCCATTCTGCCCAGCCAGGGATCTCCTTCTCTCAGCAATTCACAAGTAAATAAATAAAGGGAGCAGTATCCTTCTTGTCTACTCATCAACTGCCCTTTGCATATTCCCATAAGACTATCTCCTGGCTACCACTCCCTTGTTAAGACAGGATCCATCTGCTACACCTGTGTCTCTCAGTATCCTGCATACCCAGGCCTTCATAAACCCTTCTCTCAACACTTACAGGATAAGTGAGAAGCTAGTAAAGGTATATGTGACATTCAGTAGGCACTGCTGGATGTCTGATGCTCTTCAAAGTCTTGCCATAAAGAGCTCTAGTTCTGAAGTGGATGCTACTTTCAGGCCGTTACAAAACAACAGGTCCCCTAAGAGTCAAGACCTGAAACAAAACTGAAGGCAAATCCGGATAGGCAAATCCAGGTAAGCTGGATGCACACTAACCTGCTTTAAGTTGGCTTTTCATAAGCTGTGTCTGTGTTCCCTCCCCACAATCGAAGAGCCAGCACTCGCCCTCACACCGAAGAACCACAGCTGAGGCACCCCGGGTTGGGGATGGATATGCTGCTCCTGTCCCAAGAAAGGTCACATCCATAGACATCTTCCACCCTGCAAACGAAATATCACCTTGGGTTATTAAAAAAAAAAAAAAATCCCTGCACCAAAACATGTTCCTCTGAGATTCACTGACCAATTGATTGACTGGTTGATTGTGGGTGCTGGGATTGAACCCAGATCTTCAAACTTGCTGAATGTGAATTCTACATGGAGCTCTACCTTCGATTCCTGTTTATTCTCTGGCTAAAATGATCTGTTTGGTGGTTTAAAATAGTGCTGTACTCTACCACTGAGCTATACCCCCAAGTAGTGGTTATGTCTTAACTGCCTAAAACTACAAGTCATCAAACCTTATATAACTGCACACAGACACAAAACATGATAGTTTTGGGGATCACCTGACAACCTGAGTTTGACCCCTAGAATCCATATGATGGAGGGAACCAGTTCTACTTGTCCTTTTATCTTCATGTTTCATCCATACACAAATATATATATGTATAAATATAATATATATTATATTAATCTATTAAATATAACATAATATATTATGTATACATTAAAACCTATAGTTGAAGGGTTGGAGGTTAGCTCAATGGTAGAGCTCTTACCTGGCATGTACAAGGGTCTGGGCTTATACCTGGCACTATAAGTAAAACACTGTAGTTGAATTCCAACCCCATGACAATCTCAGAAAAGCTACAGAGACAGTAAAAAAAAAAATGGATATGTGCCAGTGATGTCAGGGAAGTACATTTTTAAGGAAACAAAACCCGCTCTATGCAACAATCAAGTCAGCAATGTTGTTATATGGAGATGGGGATGTAACAGGGGTAGACTACTTATCTAGCATGTACAAAGCTCTGGCTTTGACCTCATTACCACATATACATAGAAATGTTATATCTGTACATACAATGCACAACACAAAAATCCAAATAATGTTTGTTAATAATTGTCAACATGACTCATGAACTTACCAGACTGTTAGTACAGAAGAAAATGGGGAGTGAAGGGTGAGGTCTATAAGAAGGCTCCATACTTGTACAAGTTCATTTTTTAAAAGTCCTAATAAACACTAAGCCCCACCTGGGTGTTGTGGAATATTATTTTAAGGTGTGTTGCATTTGTTTATGTTCTCGAACATTTGTTTAACCATGTAAAAGAAGTGTTACTTTTGTTTATGCTGAATTTGTTTGAATTTGTTTAATTCTGTGAAGCTGTGATTCTTTGCCTGTCTAAAACACCTGATAATCTAATAAGAAGCTTAACAGCCAATATCAAGATAGGAGCAAGGATAGGCAGGGCTGGCAGGCAGAGGGAATAAATAGAAAATCTGTGAGGAGCAAGGAGAGGGACCAGCCACCCAGCCATCCAGACACCCAGCCAGCCACAGATTAAGAGTAAAAGTAAGATGTATAGAAGAGAGAGAAGAAGGAAAAAGCCCAGGAGCAAAAGGTATTTAAGTTTAGAAAAACTGGTGAGAAATAAGCCAAGCTAAGGCTGGGTATTTATAAGTAATAATACGTCTCTCCAAGTGTGATTTATCTGGGAGCTGAGTAGTGGGCCCCCCAAAGAGCAAAACAGCCCAAAGAGAAAGAGTAAAACATAATCAACAACATCTGGATTTGGTTCTGGCAAAGTTCTGAACAAAAGATAGTAGTATTTGATCATGCTCACTGAGTCATGGCCATGGTGACCACTCCTTCCTCTGAAGGGTCAGGATATTGGGTAACTACTGATATTTCACAGCAATGCAAAAGGTGTCCTTCCTTCAAGGACAGAGTTCATTGTTGGTCAGAGTCCACCTCTGCCTTCTCCAAGTCCCAAGGCTCAAGCACAAGGACTTGTGCACAGACCAGAAGAACTGTCTTAAGTATGTCTCCATCTGGGACTCTAACTACTCTTTCTAGTGAATGTGCAGGTTTCTGCCAACTCCTGGCACTATTCTCACTAGATCTAGGCACTGTGCCAACTCTGATCTGTGGCTGTGATGAGAGATGTGTGTTGCCTATTGTGAATGAAGGTTAGCTGGAACTTATGAATAACCAGTTCCAGATGAGATAGAATTTTAAATTAAAAAAGATTAGATATACTTTAAAATTAGAAGCATGCTGGGGATATAGTTCAATAAGTGAGTCTTTGCCTAGCATGTAAGAGACTCTGGTTCCATCCTCAACATTGGGGCAGGGGATCAGGAGAATATATAACTTTGGGGAGTGGAAAAGTCTTTCTTGCAGAGGCAAGGAGCTCTGAAATTTAAAAGCAATATTACACTATTTTGTAATGCCTGTGTATCAAAAACTCAGTCAAATGACAAAAAATAAAACGTCCACAAAACCTCAAGTTGAGGGAAAAATCTCAGAAGGAGTAGAGTTTTGTAAGAGTCAGATGACCAGGACACCTGTGCTACATGTGCCTTCTGAATGTGACCAGGAAGCTGCACAAGTATGTGAAGTCTCAACACCGAGGCTGCCTAAATACTGCTTTCAGGTGATGACACCAGTCCACATGGCCACATGGAAGGCAGAAATGCCAAAAGGTCCCACCCCTAGATGAAGAGCTACAATCAATGTGGGTGAATGAATTTTCTCCAGGGACCAGTCACCTGACAGGGGTCCCACATGGATTCACAGATGTAACTGACCAAGGCAGCAAGGAAATGAAGACAAACTTCCACAGACACACAGAGACAGCTGGGTTTGGGTGGACTGGGCTCTCTGATCGACAAACGCAACATCCCAGAAGCTTGCTGTGTTTGTTGTATAGAGTTGAACAGAGGATTATTGCACATAGCTGAACAAGCAGGCAAGGTGATGACATATTAAGGATTAAGGAGACAGGTTTAGCTCATCTCAGCAAGAGCCATCTCTGTGGGGAGCAGTCTTCAGACCATAAAGGGGGGTGGGTGCCAAGGTGGAGATCTTGTGCACACTCTGTCAACACAGTTGGACTCTTGGGGAAGGCTTTGCCATCCCTCTGAGCCTCACACAGGGTGGGGAAGGTAGGCTTTGCCTGTTTCCTATGGGTAGGAAACTAGGGTCCATGACAAGGGCGTGTCCATGTCAACAACACACATTCACTCAGGACTTCCTCCACTACCTAGTTACCCAATCCCCAGCTGGTCAGCCCTAAACATACGATGTATGAGCAACACTAAATGGATTCATATGTGTACATATGTGTGTAACAGTAGTACTAACAGTACTTATTTGAGATTCTCAAAACTTAAAGACAGTGAAAATAGTTTTTAGGAGATTAAAGCCTCCTAAAATGTTTATGCAGTGCTGGAGAAAGTGGTTCCTTGGGTTAGGGAGCTTGTAGCCCAGCCTGAGGACCTGAGTTCAATCCACCAACACCCACATGGCAGAAAGAGAGTCAACTCTCACAGCTGTCTTCTGACTGCCACATGTGTCCCTTCCAGCTCCTTTTTTATTTATGGAAATGTACTTAACAAAAAAATACACAAACGCAAATAAAGAAGATACACACCAAGTCATAGAATACATTCAAAAGACCAGAGGCATGAAAAGTGCTCAGCAAATTAAAGAACAAAGAGACTCCATTTCCCACACATCAGTGGCAGATGCTAATTAAGCAATGCCAGCCAGTTCTATTTGGGGTGATGGGAAATGGGGAAACAGGTGTAATCGCAAGTTACTGACGGTGGAGGGGTGAATTGCTATTACACTCTGGGAGAATAATTTGACAATGTAATGATACTGCTGATAAAAAAAATCTAAGCAATCTTATTTTCTGGAATCTAATGTATAGATATAAGTATTTATATCTCATAATGCTTACTGTGGTACTTCTGGGTGGGCTAAAATATTAAAGCAATTTACATTTATGTCAACAGGAAAATGATTAGTGTCTGGTTATTTTTATTTATTTTTTTTCCAAACAGGGTTTCTCTGTGTAGCTTTGGAGGCTGTTGTGGAACTCACTCTGTAGACCAGGCTGGCCTTGAACTCAGAGATCTGTCTGCCTCTGCCTCCCCAGTGCTGGGATTAAAGGTGTGCCCCACCTATGCCCGGCTTAGTGTCTGTTCTTAATATTAATTATTCTATTGAATTCTATTATTTTATAGGTAAAGACTTTGATCGGTAACTACAAGGATAACAACGGGAAAATTATAAATGGCTATAGTATAACCTCATTTTTTAGAGCAATGCTCCAAGCCTCTCTTCACTTACATAAGAGAGTGGTGAGAAGGGCATACAATATATCATTAATATTGGTCGTCTCCTGGATCTTTGGAATGATGGAAGGATGGACAGGAGACTGCTCACTTAAATCTCTGGAATGTTTTCAGCTGTAATGAGCAATGTTTTATTTATTTTTGCTTTATATTTAGTAGTGAATTTTTTAATATAGTAAAAGGCCAAACATGCTTCTATAACTACACAACATTTAGCTTTCCTTTCCATTTTGGGAAACAGCTTCCTACTGTCTTTTCCCTGCACAGGCCTCACACACAAGATGGTTATCTACGCCAGCATTAAGGTCATTGTCAGTATTCCTTCTGAGAGTTACTCCACATTTTTTGCTTCTAAGACCAAGCTTACCTTTTGACAATTAAGGATTTTAGTGCCTGTAGGCTTATTGCATTCCTTCCTTATTGCATTGTCATGTTCAAGAGGTAGGGATAACAGTCTGTAGAAGGTTAACTTAAAGGTTAGTAAAAAGCAGAAGCAAGGACAGGATGTAATTGTTACTGGAATCTAAGGTTCATGATGTTTGCCACTTCACTGAAAACCTGGGAAACAGAAGCTGATGGAAGGAAATGAATTTCTTTACAGTTCTGGGGTTAGGCATTTTCATTCTCAAAATTTCCTAATCTCTTGTCTAAGTCTTCTCCCTCTATTTTACATAATCATTGCAATCTCCAACAAATAATGGATCGAGACAAGAGGCTGGCAAAGTAGGAGCATATCAGAATACTTCAGGGAGCTTAAAAACACCAATGATTAGGTCCCATCCCAGAACAATTACATAGGGAATTCTGTGAGGCACATGTTTAATACTCTGGTCAGCCCAGGGTTCCATGAGTACTAGTCTGCAGGCAGGTGTAAAGGACCCCTTTAAAAGTCAGACCCCTGCCTACTTACGCTCTTTTACTCTTCTCTCTCTCCTGATTTCCTTTGGCCACCAGAACCCCCCCTTCTTCTCTTCCCCTCTCTCTTCTGTTCCTGGTGCCTCTATGTCTCTTCCCTTCTCCCTCACTCCCCCTTCTAAATAAACTCCTCATTTAAGCTCTACCTGCCTGGCATGTTATTCCCTCCCATCTCAGTCACCCTCACCTGCTATGGAACCTGCTATGCCCTTCCACATAGTTCCTTACCTTGGGACCCCACTGACCTGGGACCTTCACTCTGGACCACCACTCACCCCCACCCTTTCTCCAGCCTTTTATTCTTATAACTGTAACTAAAAAACAACATTGATGATGCAGTATGAAATAAACAGGCCTCCATGTACACAGCAGGCCACCATAAGGTTTTCTTGCCAAAAGTAGAATCAGAACCAGAAAAGGCTAAATACCACTTTACTGAGGAATTCCATGGAGATAGATTGGATGGATGGATGGATGAATAGATAAATATAGATATAATGATATACACACACACACAAGGCAATATGCAAGATGTAGGAAAATACACATAGGACGCATTGCTTGGTTTTTCAGCTAGTACGATATAAGAGGAAAACACAAGAGGGGATTCAGAGAGCAAAAGAGATTGGAGAGATCACTCATTTGTAATATGTGTAGTTTGTTTGGCTTCTGATTTGGATAAACTGGTAAGGGAAGAGACAACAGGGGAATGTAAACACTGATTGGATAATAGATGATAATATGAAATGCTAACTAGACTGATGATGACTTTATGTTCAAAAACAAACTGTCACATCTTACAGACCTTTAGCAGATTGAACGGTACATTTCAGAATCACTTTAAAACAAGTGGGAGAGGGTCATGGGTGAAACTAGCTCGACTGTGAATTGGGAATTTTTCTCCGTGTATGCTTCTCCAATAAAAAGTTTAAAAATAGACTCAATAATCAGAACAGTCCCGGTAGGTCAGGTGGCAGACAGCAATTATTTAAGCACTGCTGGCTTTGTGACATGCATCTCTCTAGGTATTAGGCAGTAAATGAGAGCAAACCACATTCAGCCCTTGTCTTCTTGGACAAAAAGCAGCTGCTCGCTTTCTCAAGACTGTCATCCACGTTAGAGATTAAGTGCGTAGTAATTCCAGTCTTGACAATGCTGTCACTTGTCACTTCGGGCCTGCCTGCAGATCTCAATCTCTGCTGACTGTGGGGCCTCCCACAGCACCTGGGTGTCTAGTGGAGCCCAGCCGCTCCTCAGTTTCCAGGCAGGCAGTGTCAGGCCTGGGGTGCAGGAGGGTGATGACGCCGCCCTTCATTTTTTGAGATGAAGGAGCTGTGTGGGCCCGAGCATGAGCGGCCAGGCCTGTGGCCACCGCCAGCCCAGGACACCGGGCGGCGCGTCGCCGCGCTCTGGCGCTCCCGGGACCTCTGCGCCCGCCCCCCTCGGGCGTCCTGCCCCACTCACCCTCTCTCCGAGGCCCGCCGGAGCCGAGGGAGGTGCAGGCCAGCTGCAAGGCCCAGCAGTGCACGAGCGGCGACGCGCGGCCGGAAGTGCGCCGCCCCGCGGTCCGGCGCCGCCGCTCTAGGCGCGCGGGAGGTGCGCGGGAGGTCCGCGCTCGGTGGCGCACACCCCGCCCGGCTGCAATCGCCCGGAGAGGGTCGCGGGTCCCCACCCACTTCCAGGTCTCGGTAACGCGGTGGCTGTGACGCGTGTCGGCCGGAGCTGCTGACCCCAAAGGGAAAACGTTTGCTCTTCCGCGTTTGATTTGATTTTCGTGCCCTGTTTTCCCCGATGTGTTTGTTATACATACGTGCCCTTGCATGGGTTGGAATGGAATGAATCATTCAACCGCAAAACCTGGAAGTATAAACTTGTGTTTTGACAGGAAAACACTTGGCATCGGAGTTCATTATCGGCATAATCACGTGTCTCCTGACCCTCTGACCATATTTAAGGATTTTGTTTTTTGTTTTGAGATGGTCTCACTATGTCTCCCTGTCTAGGTTTAAACTGGCTATGTAGACCACACTGGCCTGGAACACTCCCTGAACCATCTGTGACAGCCTCTGGAATTAAAGACATGCTCAGGTTTCAGTTTGCTGTTTAGGGATAATCTTTTATCACAGAAGCAGAAATGCAGCTAGAAAAGTAACAATGGCTTCCATGTTGTTTCAGTTCTTTGTTCTTGTTTTTTCTGGCTGGAGATCTACTTAAGTGCCACTGGCACCAAATATAGAAATGTCTTTGATTTTTATCAATGCCCTGTTCTTAGATTAGAAGGAACTTTATTGGCTCTTCCTGGAAGGCATGCTTGAGTGTGGATCACCTACTGTCTTGATCCCCTTCCTGTTAATGTGTGGGATAAACCCAAGTCTATTCCCGAAAGCTGTGCATTCTGGATTGAAAGCCTGTAGGGAAAGACTGCTTCTATAGGCTCCCTTGATCCTAAATCTTAGATGCAGTCTCTTTTTTTTTCCTATCTACTCAAGGTGGTTGTTGGTACTCTTCTTTTTTTCTCTGCCAAGCTAACAGCCTGAGCAAAGGGAACTCCTTTTCTTACTGCTGATATACTGGTCTGCTTTATAAATCCCTTCAAGGACAACTCTGCCTACTTCCTTCTCCTCCTCACTGCTGTATTGCAGCCTTCAACTTTTCTCCTTGTGAGACTCTAGTCTCCCATCTTTAATTCTGGAGTTTCACTAAATGATGTTTTGAAGAACTTCCATAACTTTCAAGGCTAACATAAATAAATTTAGACTTCAGGTATTCTCAGTTGCTCTGTGTGTCTGTCCTTAAACTTTGCACTGGACAGACAGTGGTATCTGATCCAGGTGGGGAATTCTGCATGAGTTCTCCAGCTTTACAATTGATGGATCATGTGTCTGCTCCATGAGGATAGAACTAGCCTTTGAAGCTACAGGGTATGATATCCATTGCTCAGTAGTGATTATCTTGGATGGGCCAGAAATTCCTGACCCAGGAATGGAACTTTGCCAGGTTGGTAACTGAGTGGACTGATGTTTGGTCCAGGAATCTATACTTACTTATTTTTTTCTTTTCCCTTTTATATATACAAGCATACATGGCTTAGTTTCACTATAAATTTTAAAAGTAAAATGTTTTGGCTAAAATGATTTTGAGAAAGGCATGTCCATCTGTGAGGGCACACCTTTCAGGTACTTTAAGTCTGTAGGACGAGCTTCCCATTTTGACTTTTATACTTTCACTTGGTATCTCCTTGAGCCTTGATGATCAACTTAGACTCTGTGTCCTTATGATGCATTTCTAAGAAAGGACCTATCTTTGGAAATACAGAATGAAGGTTAGTGTTATTTGGTGATATAAAGAAAATAGATAAACTATTTTAAAACTGACAAGAGGTGAATCTAAATGAAGGTTATATAATCTTTGGTTTTTCTTTTCTTTTTTTAATTGATTCTTTGAGAATTTCACCCCAATACTAATCATTTCCCAGTCCCTTCATATCTGTCCTTCACCCTTGTCGCATCCCCCCACAAGAAGATTTAAATAAAAAGCAAAAAAAGAGAAATATTTAATTTTAAAATTAAAAACATTAAAGAGTAAAAAATCTAAAATGCAAATAAAAATATTAACTAAACAGTAAACATAAAACAAAACAAAAAAGAACAAAACAAAAACAAACAGAACCACTTCACTCCTCCATTTTCCTTCTCTCCCCCCCCCCATCACTTCTTCATTTGTCTTAGTGGCAGTGGGAGGGGCTGTGTGTCAAGCAGCTTCACTTGCAAATGTTCATTGTTTAATGTCGAGTTCAAGGCCTCTGGCTTATGGTACACCATGAATACTGGACCCTCACCAAAACCCCTCTTGGATGCCCTGCTGTTGCCCGGATCCTGGCCATAACTCTGCAGGACTACTCTTTTCCTGCTCCAGCAAGTCACAGATGGACAGACATTGGGGTGTGCCAACTCAAAGCCCTGGATGTATGCCTGGGTGGTAGCTGAGTTGGTCAAGCTAAGCTGCTGGGGCCACCCCCTCAGGCAGGGGCAAAGACTGCTCTCTCATAGTGAGGGATAGGGCAAGCTCAGCACGGCCCTCATACTTCAGCACATGGTTCACAAGGGCCCATGTGGTAACATGGACAAGAGACATCAACAAGACCTCAGATGCAGGAGGACCATGGCCAGCAGCAGCAGCAGCTTGGGCCCTGGTGGCAGCAGAGGCCTCTCAGCTCAGCATGGGCTTAATAGTGTGGTCCCTAGAATCCAAAATGGCCCCCTGTGGAAGCCCAGACCCTGGGCATTCACATAGCCTTCAATGGTAACTCAGACTATGGCTGAGTAGGGTCATGGACCCAGACATGGGCCCCAGCCACAGTTTGGCCTGGATGTCATCACAGCCCCAGATGACAGTGCAGGACACTCTGACTGTATGGCCCCATATTCTGCCTGCTGCTCTAAGTTGGCTGAGACAGTCCAAAGGCAGCCTGTCTTCTGAGTTCAAAGGGAACATGATTTCAAAGTGTAGCATTTGTGGCTCATAATACAGTATGATGAGGGCATTCTCATGGTGGCCACACCCAAGTCTCCAGGTAGACAGTGAAAGAATTGAAACTGAGTTTCTGTGGGCTGCAGCATTGCTTTCTTGGGGGTGAAGGGAAGTACACACACACCAGAGGTCAGGAGACTGTTGTGAGAACACTGTGGGAGAAACTTGGGGTGTTTTTGTAAACATGAAAGAAAAAAGCCTTGTATTCATAGCATTCTTACTCCGCTGAGGGGAGACAAATAATGAAGTAAGTATTATCACTGTATCAGATAGTGGAGAAAATTAAAGGGGGGGCTGGTTTGCTGGGATGTCTCGGTTGCAGTTATTAGAGGGTGAGTCAGAGAAAGCCTTCCTGAAGTGATACCGGTGAAAGCTGAAGGAGGTGCAGATGCTGTGAACTCACAGTTCCAGGCAGAGGTGTGGTGAGCGTGGAGGCTGCTCTTGAGGTCCAGTGTGTAGCCTGGGGTAAAGGAACATCACGCCTGCAACCCACTCTCAGTCACTCAGAAAATAACCTTTATGTATACAGAGTGACGAAGGAGGAAGAGGGAAGGAATGATGAAACAAAATGTAAACAAATGTACCTCTGGGTCAAGGCTGCAAGTCCCTGGCATTATTCCTGCCCCTGACCCTGGCCAAACCAAATATAAAAGCCAGAAGAAATTACATGTATGCATGCATATGGGATTATAAAAATTTTAATTTGGGCTTTGTTTAGCAATGGGAAGATCTGTGAGTGTGGGGTGGGTGTGAAGGCCTGGATGGAGTGGTGCAAGGCAAAGTACAGGCAGACTGGTGATGTAGCTCTGTGGTGAAGCATTTGCTTGGCATGGGTGAGGCCCTGGGTTCAATAAACAGTACTGCCAGAGACTGGACAGTGAGAACTGAGGCCAAGAAGAATTTAGTTCAAAATTCCTCTGCACTTTTGGACCAACAGCCTGAGAGTCATCCTGCCCTCCCAACACCACTTTCAGGATGGGGAAAGTAGAAACATGTTTGCATCCTTGTGTTGGCCAGCAATACAGTAGACCAATGGCACTAAGGCCCTGGACTGAGAGGAAGTGAGCCCAGAGCACGAGGTCTTGATGGTTTGTGTGTGTGTGTGTGTGTGTGTGTGTGTGTGTGTGTGTGTGTGTGTGTGCACGCATGCGTGTCTATGGAGGTTGTCAGTGTCTTCTAGCCAAAGGTCTCCAGGAATGCATATGTGGCTCACTAAGCAGATAACTGCTTTTCCCTGTGAAGGAGTTTGTAACTGCAGGGAGTTACATTCTGAGCTGAGCTCAGAATGCTTGCCTAGCACGAATGAGGGCTTGGTTCCTTAGACTCTATAAACAAATTTTTAAAAATGAATAACTATACCTCTTGCAACTGTGGATCTAGTTAGGTGAACATGCAGGACCACTGAAGTTGAGGTTCACTCAGGATTGGGGGTGTGTGAGGAAGCACAGACATTTCTAGGACAGCTAGTTTTAACAAACTATCTGCCAAGAATCAGCACTTGACCATTCTGATGAGGAGAGGGGGATGATCAATTTTTGTGGTCTCAGAAATCCATGCTTGTGTTTTATCCAGGTACAGACAAGGTGTCTCTGCTTTATCTGGTTCCATCCTGATCACCATGGCCTTGTAATGATTTATATGCCACAGAACACAAGCCTACATGATCTGTAAGCAGTGAGAATGATGGTGAGAGCCCCAGGGCGCCCTCTTCTGATCATTCTCTTTCTCTGCGAGATGGAAGGTGCAGGAGGATGTCAGTGACCTGAAGGAATGGGTATCAGAAATTCACTGGACAGAGACATGGCAACATGACATGGCAACAGGAAGGGTTTTTTGACATTGGTGGTTTGGATCAGTGACAGGGACAGGTTCTGTAGTCATGCTTCGCTGCACTGGTCAGAGATTCCATCTGGGGAGTCCACCTTAAAAGGGACTGACATTCCACCAGACTATGATGGGGGAGGTTTGGATCTTGCCATTGCCGTTTCATATACCTGACAACACTGTGCCCAATTTTGCATCTGTAAATAGGGAAATTATTAGTATTGATGTCCCCTAAGTGTTATGAAGTTTAAGGAGTTATTTTGCCAGATACC